TAAAAATTAATGTATCTTTAATTTGTTTACTAAAATTATTGTTCGTTTAGCATTAGTATTACATTCAGTATATATTCACTAATATTCCTATATCTGGTCATCAATTTTACAAAATATTTATAAACTAAAATTTTGAATACATTATATTGTTTGGACATTATTATCACTATTCTATTAATTATGATTTTAATTGAATAATAATTAAAACCTAAACCCAATAATATTTAGAAATTGTGAAAAACATTTTTATTCATAAAGTGCTTAATTTTATATCAAATACAACTTACAAGTTTATTAATTATATTAATGTTATATTTACTATTAATTGTACATAATAAGTAATCTAAATAAATTATTTTTGTTAACTCCACTTTGTTAAATAAAAATGATTTTTAAATAATAATTTTGTGTAATTATTTCTTAAACAATTGGAAAGGCTTTTAATGATTAATAATATTTTATTAATTTTGTTGTTTTTTGCTAAAAAAATACACAATAATATTAATGATATAAATCATGAAAGCGTGAAGTAATTTAGATACTAATGTTTGTTAAATAAAATGGATAGTTTTATTAAATAAATATAATATTACAATTAATTTATATTTATACACAATATTAATAAACATATAATTATATTTTTAAATTTCATGTTTTAAGAAATTATTTAGTATTGATATTTTGTTTAATTACTAAACCATTAATTATCAGCAATTAGGTGTCAATTAAATATGTGTTTATTTTATTTGATAAAAATTGATTAAAAATTAACTTATGTTTTATATTACTTTGATTTAACAATTTTCATTTCATTAACAAATGCATGATCAAGATTTTTAGGGGCTCAATATAAAAGTTAAATATTATTTAAATAACAAATTATAATCTAGTCAATTAAATTTAAATTAATGTAAAAAATATAATAAATAAAAATCAATAAAATTAATAAATAATAATTTGTTTGATCAAAGATTTACTCGTTGTCACCAAAGAGGACCCAATGATGCGTTCATATTATAAAACATTAACAAAATTTATTACAAAATAATTTGTTTAGAAATTTTTTTATTAGTCTCGCATTGAAGTTATGTTACATTGAAAAAATTGTGATAAAATTATTTAAAGCATAAGTTAAGTGATTTGTTTGATGACTTCCTCATCAATTGCTCACTTAATGTACTCAAATTGTGTATCACTTTTAGATATATAATTCTTAATAATAAATAATAAGTATTTTTCATCAAATGGTCACAAGAATTGTGAATATTTAGGCAACATTTTGTGGTTTTACAATGGATTTCGAAGATATATTAAAAGAAGTTGGTGATAATGGCTATTACCAGAAGCGGCTAATCGTGGTGTATTTAATATCAGCCGGAGCTTTATTGCCCTTATTTTGTATGACAACTATTTTTATGGTCAGATTTTTTTACATTTTTTTCTAAACCATTAATTAATTTGTAAAGATTTCCTCTTTTATACCGAAATGAATTTTAATTGAATGCAATGTCAAACATAGGTTTCGTCGCCAAAACATTGGTGTAAAGTCTCGGAATTGTCTAACTTTTCAATTGAACAACAAATACAACTAATTAGTCCATTAATTGTAGAAAGCGGATTATCAAAGCATGATTCGTGTAATATGTATGACATTGATTACAATTATATGGCAAAAGTGGCCAATCTTTCCATCTATATGTCTGACCATAACTTGACAGACCTCTCAGTCAAGCCCTGTTACGACGGGTGGGCTTATGACACAACATTTTACGAACAAACGGCTGTTACAGCTGTAAGAATACTATTAACAATATATTCGCACTTTAATATTAATTTATAAATTAACAAAACAATCAAATATAATATTAAATAATTGATTGATATTAATATGTAGCTAGATCTAGTCTGCGATCGAAGTCATTACGTGAATATGGTTTTATCGGTTGGAAATTTTGGCACAATTATAGGAACGCCATTCTTTGGTTGGCTCTCCGATAAGTTAGCACTTTATTTGTTAATACATTTGTATTGCATATTAAATAATGGCATAAATCTGATACAGAATCGGAAGAAAAAGGACTTTTCAAGTAACAATATTTATATTTATATTGTCGTCATTGAGTCCAACAATATTGAGAGATCTCAATAGTTTTATCGTATTCCGTGTGATCAATGGTCTTATTTTACCATCTTTTTATCAATTACCGTACATTATTTGTAAGTTTTATTTTAAAAATTAATTAAACGTGTGTTTAACGCATTTTTGAAGTGATAGAATCGGTGGGCGCACGATCTAGGACATATCTCAACGGTATCGCATGTCTGGCATGGGTGGGAGGCCTCTGTACACTCCCATTAATTGCATATTTAACCAGACATTGGGTTACCTTAAATATAGTCACGTCTATTACAATCATCCCATACTTCTTCTGTTGGAAGTAAATATAAATAATTAGTTATATTTGAAATGAAAGTAAACTAAATTGTTTGTGAATAGATTGCTTCCTGAGTCTCCGCGTTGGCTAATCATAAATGAGAAATACGCTGAAGCAGAGAAACAATTGCTGGATATGGCGGCCACTAATGGCAAACCGGCGCCTAAAGACTTGATCCATAAATTAAAAAGTGTTGGCAAAAGCCTAAACGCCGACGACTCGGAAAAAGTGAATAACGCTTTTCTATTATTCGTTAAAAAGCCGGGTCTTCGGCGCAACGTATCGCTGGTAACACTGAATTGGATGTGTTGTGCGGCCGTCTATTTCGGCATTCATCTCAATCTATATAACTTTTCTGGCAATGAATTTCTCAACTTCTTTCTACTGTCGGCCATTGAATTTCCGGCCTATTTGTTCGGCTGGTATCTAATTGGCACCCGAATGGGTCGGCGCTGGTCTTTATCCGCGTTCGTCGTATTCTGTGGTATTTCTCTATGCGTGCCGGCAGTAGTTCCAGAAGAATACGCTTTTGTCACTAACATTATGGCAATGGCGGGCAAATTCTGTACCACTCTAGCGTTTATGGTGGTCTACCAACAGGGGGCTGAGCTCTACCCCACACCTATCAGGAATCAGGGGCTGGGCATCGGCTCTATGGCCTCGTCAGTGGTCGGCATATTTATGCCATATTTGATATTTGCTGTAATCATATCACGTATTATATTGTATTTGACATTTTTATAACTTATTGTCAATTGAATGACAGG